AGAGTAGTCCAGCCCTAGGTCGGGGGGGTCGGACTAGGAGACTCCAACAAAGCATGCGATGCGTCCCTGACCATCTTGGCTGAGAAGTTCATGGAGGATAGGTCCATTAATGGCTCTCATTCCTTTTGGACCCCAGTTACCCTTTTGGCCTTCACAACATCCTCATCTTTTTGCAGCTCCCGGCCTGCTTGCTATCTGTCCTCCTCTCTGCAGCCAGCTCCCTCCTTGCTTGCTATCTGTCCTCCCCGCTGCAGCCAGCTCCCTCCTTGCGCGCTATCTGTCTTCCCATCTGCAGCCAGCTCACAGCTGTTCAGGCTTCTGCCTCCAACCATTTTGCTCTCATGTAGCCTCCCTGTGTGCCCCCATGCACCAGGCTGAGGTCCTGGGGGGAGGGGAGGGTACAGACCCCCTGCTGGCTGGATGTGGTATTGGCTGGTGCCCACACTGAGAGCCAAGGGGTTCATGCTGGCACTTTAACAGGTTGAGGTGGGGGAACCGCGGCTTTAACTTGACTCGAGGCCTCATCACCACTGGGCATTTAGCACACGCTGAGAGCCGGCATTTGCTAGCGCCCCCCCTTGGAGCCCAGTCCGACACGGCCACTGGGGCTGTTTGCTTGCACAGGAGCCTGGAGCTGCTCATGTCCCTGCTTTGGTATTGGGCACAGAGGCAGCGATCAGACCTGCACCACTCCCACTGCAGGGCCCGGCCTGGCCTGTGCTGGCCTTGTGTAGCTGCTTTGCTGCAGCAATGCTTGTGCAAACTGGCTGCAAATCAGTAGGACCTCCCCCCCCGCCCCAAGGAATCCCACCAGCACACAGTGCCTTCCCCACATCACAGAGCGGGCTCTGCACCCCAACCCCACGACATAATATATGGAGATATACCTATCTCGGAGAACTGGAAGGGACCCCGAAAGGTCATCGAGTCCAGCCCCCTGCCTTCACTAGCAGGACCACGTACTGATTTTGCCCCAGATCCCTAAGTGGCCCCCTCAAGGATTGAACTCACACCTCTGGGTTTAGCAGGCAGGGGGACGTCCCAATAATGGGTGGGGGTGTGGCCACAGTAGCCCAGCCCCCTGGCTATTCCCCAGCTGTCATAAGGCCAATAGGGACCATATACAGCATATTCCTAACAGGAGAGCCATATACTAGACTATTTTTTTAATCCCACCCCGTCAATACCCACTCCCACCCGCACCCGCATTGTTTCTTGCATTTGTATCCCGCTCCCACCCACAAAAACATCCAGTCCCACAAATCCCACAAGAGAGAGAGGGACTCCCCGAGCCTACTAACAAAACACAACAGTCGGTTAATATATTATATATATAAATGGAATTCAGACAATTTTTACCACTAAAAGAATAAAACAAATCTTGCTTAAACCATGTAAAAAAAATACTTTAACTCCTATAATAATAGACATCAAATCTCTTTCTATTCCTCACTTAAATGTAAGTATTAAAACCTTTATTTTTTGTGTAAAAAACAACTTGCTTTACATTGCTGAAATTCTATTTATGACAAACAGCTGTCGTGTATATCCCAGATAAGGTCAAAACAAATTGCACCACAATTTTGCCTTAAAAGATGCAGATTTTTTGTAATGATTATAAAAAGTTGTTTAAAAGCCTGGAATGTTTTAAACCGCTTAAGCACCGATTTTAGAAATTTGAAACAAACCATTCAAGTTACTTATATGTCAGGATTACTCTTGCTTTCTGAAAAACATTGAGCAGCAAAACTGCTCACCGCTCTAGGGTTTTGATAGAAAGAAATTTTAAAAAGAGGCTCAAGCTAAGTGACTGAAAAGCTCAATTTAAACAGCAGGTGCAGCTAAATTTGCATTTTGTTTTCCCGCAAATTACCACAGTCTGTTTTTTTGCCCACCCAATTCCGCCCACAACAAAGTACATTTTACCTGCTCCCGCTGTGATGACAGTGGGTTCTGCGGGATCCCAGTCCCGCTGCAGGGCTCTAGCTATTATTAGTCTGCCCTGGCCAGTAGAGGAGCCAAGTAGCCCCAGAGCAAGGCAGCTTCCTGCCCCTCTTGCAGGGCTCTGCACCGGGGCTGGGATGAAATCCAACCACGTGGGGTCGTGCTGTGATGATAATCTGTGAGAAGCAGGGTCTGAGCCGTGCTGGCTTTGAGGTGTTTATTTCTTTGCAAGTACAAAAAGGCTTCAATTGTGCTTCTTGGTAAAAACGGTCTTTAAAAAAGAGCTGCCTAGACGAGACCCCAAGGAGAGATCGGGAGAGTGGATCCCCCAAGGACAGAAGATCCCCAGGTTCTTCGTCGAGTGATGTCCCTGTGAGTGCTCCACTTCAGGTGTCGGTGTGTCCTGGCGCCGGGGATACACCGACACCTGAAGTGGTGCACCCATACGGGGACACATCTCAAAGAACCTCAGTTACTGTACCAGGTGAAGGGAGAGGCCTGGGGGACTGGATCCCAGCTGCACTCAGGGAATCTTTACAGGAGCTGCAGACTCCAGATTCCAGGCAAGGGAAATCCCAGCCATGCTCAAGTAATCTGTGTCTGTCCCATGAAGGACTCTAGACAGACCCCCAAGGGCCAGGGCTCTCCCTTGACTGGAGCCCTGCAGAATTTGGCCCTGAGCAGACAGGATGCAGAGTGAGAACTGGGGCTGGATTGGCTGAGGGAGGCACCAGATCCTGAGATAGTGGCCCAGCAAGGACAACATGACACCTGCTGCTCCTGCCCCAGGCCAGCTGGCTGGGGGCTGGTAGAATCCTTAGGGAGGTCGGGGGGGGGGGGGAGCCCAGCCCCAACAGGGTCTCCCACTTTATAGCTGCCCCAGATCAAGTACAAAAAGGCTTCAATTGTGCTTCTTGGTAAAAATGGTCTTTAAAAAAAGAGCTGCTTAGATGAGACCCCAAGGAGAGATCAGGGGAGTGGATCCCCCAGGGAGAGAGGATCTCCAGATTCTTCATCGAGTGCTGTCCCTGTGAGTGCTCCACACACCGACACCTGAAGTAATGATCTTAAAAAAACCTGAAGTGTGATCTATGATGATCACGAGTACCTCCTCCTCCTTCTGCCCCCACCCCTGGATCCATTCCCTGGGGCTGTCCTGGGCCCCCTGCTTGGACTGACCCACCCCAGCGGGATGGGGGAAGCAGCCAGACACATCTGGGGCCTCACTCAGTGGCACTTGAGGCTGCTGGCTGAAAGTGGCTTTAAAGGAAGTACATCTGGCCCCCTGAGTATCCCTCCTCCTTCCCTGCCTGGCTGGGGTAGAGTAATGGGAGCTGCTGGACACTGAGCTCTTTGGAGAATCTGGCCATGTTTTCCCCATTCCACATATGGCTAAACTGAGGCACAGGGCAGGATAGAGGCCAGCATTTTCCAAAGTGGCCATTGATTCCTGGGTGCCGCCCAGGGCCTGGTTTCTGAGCACCCTCCACTTTGGCTAAGATCAATGGGAGCGGTGGGTGCTCGGCCTCTCTGCAAACTGGGGGGGGGGTCTTAAATCAGACACCCCAAAACTAAAGCACCACTGGCAATTGAATCAAGGCCCCAGAGTACCATGCTAGTCCCTTAACCACAAGGCCACGCCATCCCCTGGCCCAGGGGGTCTCAACTGCTATAGAAACTCCATGGCCCACCAGTGCCACAACAATTGTTTTTCTGCATATAAAAGCCAGGGCCGGTGTTAGGGGCTAGCAAGCAGGGCAACGCCTGGGGTCCCACGCCAACGGACATTGCTCAGGCTTCAGCTTCAGCCCCGGAGGCGGGGCTCAGAGCCACAGAGTGTCTAACACTGGCCCTGATCAGAGACCTGCTGCCCTGAACTAAGCCCCCCAGATCTCCTTAGGCACTGTGTGTGCCCCAGAGGCAGGCGAGGGCCTCGCGCTGGAGGGGCACCTCGTCCTGGGAGAGGATGGAGCAAAGGCGTTTGATGGTGGCGTCCTGCCTCGCTCGTTTCCTCCACTCCAAGAGCATTTTGATGTTGCCGGGATTGTTCTCCTCGATCTGCTCCAGACAGTGATTCTCCAGGCCCAGGAACTCAATGCCGATCTGCCTCCAGGTCTTGCCCATTTTCCCTGCCAGCTTCATCAGCTACTGCTCTGAAACCAGAATCTTCCTTTCTGGGAAAGAGGGGAGAGAGTCAGCCAGGAGACTGGCTACGCAGCCACATGGGAAGCTCCAGTCACTTGCTGCCAGCGCTCCTGCCCTGCTCCCCACAGCGCCCCCTGCTGGGTGAGCCTGGGACTGGCAGAGCTGGGAGCACCCCCAAAACCAGTGCTCCTGCCTCACTCCCTACAGCACCCCCTGCTGGGAGACGCCAGGGCAGGATTAGCTGGCTGTGTCACCCACAGCCAGTGCTCCTATTGGTGCTCAAATTACAGGGGTCTTCAGAGGGGACTGGGCCCCCTTATTACTTTTACTACCTCACTGCTGTCTTATAGCCCCCTTAGTTCTCACTACTATTTAAATTAAAGCAAGCCACTCGGTATTCAGAGCCCCTCCTATTTTTCCCATCATTGGAGCTCTGACTGCTGCCCTTCCCCTTACAGTGCCCCCTGCTGGGAGAGGCTGGGAACAGAGAAGCTGGGAGCTCTCCACTCCTGTCACTGAACCGCCCTGCTCTGTGGCTGTGCTTCTTACCATAGGCCTGTGGCTCACCTGCCCTGGCGCCGCTATTTGCAGCCTCACTGTGATTTGCATCGTCGCCGCTGTTCCCAGTTTCTCCTCCTGTCTGGAGCTGGCCGCCCTGGACCAGGTCCAGCCTTGGGATCTTGCGCAGCACCTGGCTGGTGACATCTAGCGCTTTCCGGGTGTATTGCTGCCACAACAGCTCAGCCACCTGGATGCGGGAGGCGCCGTCCAGCTTCCCGCGGCGTATGTGGGGAGCCGTGCCCACACGGAGCAGGTGAAACTTGAACTTCTCAAACTCCTCCTTGGTCAGATCATCCAGGATGCGCAGCAGCTGCTCGCCCATCGCCATCCTGGCACCTCACCCCGGAGCCCCCCGAAAGGCAGACCTGCGGGGCCCCAAAACAAACCAGCCAGGTGATTTGGGGTGACTTGGTGGAAAAGCCCCTGTTCAGTCTCTCCAGGGGACCTGCTCTCTGAATGCCCCCTCCCCACTCCATCCCTTAGACTCTGGGGTCCCCCTTTCAAAATTCCTCTGATCTCCGGGGTTCGCTGTCTGTTGAACCACAGCACCCAAGCGTCCCTGAGGGGAGGCAGCTGGGCTGAGCAGGGAAGGGTCACCTCACAGCACAGGGGGTTTCCCCAGCCCACCCCGAAAGGTCCCTGCCGTCTTGGCAGCAAGGCCACCCTGTGGCCCCTGGCCGCTCCCGAAGCCGATGATGTCTACAGGTTTCAGTGAGAGACGACCTTATCTCTGCAAAACAGCACCAGGGCCTTGCACAGACAGACAGCGTGGCTGGGACCCAGGACACCGGGGTTCTATTCCCAGCTCTGCTGGTGACCTTGAGCGAGTCACTTTGCCTGCTCTATGCCTCAGTTTCCCTTCCCCACCTTTTGTCTGTTTAGAATGCAAGCGCTTTAGGTCAGGGCCTGTCTGTGCAGCGCCCGGCATGATGGGGCCCTGGGGCGTCTGGGCCCCATCGTGGCACTTTGTGTCGGGGACACTCCTAGGCTGCCCTGCGCCCCCCCCCGATACAGGGCACCCAGAGGTGCTGGAGCCAGGGCTTGAAGTGGTTCCCATCCCAGCCAGGGTTTACAGTTTGGTCCCACGGCTCCCAACCTCTCCACCCCCACCCCGTACAAACTTTCCCACGGCACCTCGCCCCGCCCCGCCCCACCCCACCCCGAGATGCGGATGCTTTTCCAGCTACTCCCGCCCCCGGCGCCGCCCCGGTCCGGAACCCACCAGCCTGGCCCGGCTGCAGAGCCCCGGGGGCCGGGAGCTGCAGGGGGGCGGGATCGCAGCCCCCCCCCCAGGTCCTACCGACCTCGGAGCCCCTCCGGGGTGGACCCCGCCCCGCCCGCCCGGCTCCGCGCCGCCTGTATCACCTGGCGGGAAGACGTCCCGCTCCTCACCGCGCACGCGCAGGGTCGAATCCCGACTATTAAAAAACAACAAAGCGACACACACGCGTGACCAGTTCGGCGGGGGGGGGT